GGGAAGAGCTCTAAATCATGAGGTGATAACACGGGCCTCCCTGACACTCTCCCACCATCCTAACCACCACCATGGTCTCTGCGGGATTACTATATATTTACAACCACCACCCCACCGCATCATCAACACAGGAAAGCTAGTAGGCAGTGGCGGGAGGCCTAATGGAGGAAGCAGTAGTGAATGGGTAGAATAATCGTGTACTAGGAGAGATAAAGCAGGAAACTTTACAAATATATCGGAAAAAGGGGGTTTGAACCTAAACTCTGTCATTGGTCCGCGGCCCAATGGCTGTCACGCATCAATGAACTACTTAGTTCAGAGCGTATACACCACTGCGCCACCAGGACTTCCATGACGGTACAGTGGTCTAACACATGACTCCTTCCCATAGTGATTGATTGAACAGGTTGTTAGAAGCTGGATCGGTCTTGAAATAAGTTTGCAAAGTGCCTGGACAGGACACTGTTAATTCTTTGTAGAATTCATTCTTTTGTCAGCAGTTGGTGCTTGTAAAGGACTTCGGGCGTTATGGGTCATTTTTTGCCTCATAAAAAGTTAAAATTTCAACTTGAATGTAGTTACCAGTTTCTGTTATGAACATCACATCGGTTAATTGGGGCTATCTTTCTTGTGTAGATTTTATCCGATACGCATGAGTAGATGGCCTACCAAATCAACGAAATTGCGTTGTTATGCAGAAATAGCCAAAATATGGCGTTTTTGGACATTTAGCATGCAGAAATGAAAGCCTCCGCATGAGACAAACACACATTCCTTTCTACAAATAAACACTGGTAGGACAATGTTTAAGCATTCATATATTTACTTGTTTGTTGCATGCGGAGGCTTTCGAAATTGAAATGTGTTTATTTATTTTCCTTCAAAATGGCTAGTTTTCAACCAAATTCCGCCCAACAGACGATATTCACGCTTTTTATTATGAAAATGTGAGTTTATTTCTCTGCTTGAAATGCCATATCCCCTTTTATTCCAGATTACGATTAAATCAACTAATTCAAAATCCCCGATGAGGCAGGAAACGACCCTCAACGCCCTAAGTCCTTTCGGAGTTCCCATGGTTTTATGGTTAAGAATGACACTGTACCATTCTTGTTAATCTTGTCGCAGATGTGGAACTCTAAACCACGAACGATTTCACCCTAAAATGAAATTAATTCAACACACATTGGTGATTTGGTGATGAAATCATTATAAAAGTTATGTCAGGGTTACTCTTAACTAATTTCAGGCTATTTTAGTCCCCCTAGCTCCCCCCCCCCCCCCCCCCCCCCCCCCTCAATTTTGATTTACGTTTTGAAATCTAGTGTATTCTGCGCAGGATCATGATTTTATGGTTAATAATGACACTGAACCATTCTTGCGAATCTTGTCGCGAAGGAACAAGAACGACTTTCTTGTTGGCTGGATGTGGAACTCTAAACCAAGGGATCAATGTTCAAATCTAGGGTCGACAATTCGTAATCACATTTAAAGGTTAAAATGTCTTTGTTGCATGGACAGTTTTTAGTTCATATATATGGCCTTACCTTGGAACATTTTACTTCACGATCTGTCTAGACTTGTCAAGGCCTTGTAACTCTTCTTTGGAAAGCCTTTTAATTGTTGTGTAGCCACGGTAGGTCGCAGGGCTTCGATAGGTTCTGCTAAAGCTCAGGCCACGAGAAACGGATGTTGAATCATCACAGAGATGTCAAATAAATATAACATCTTTAGATCTTCATCATGTCCACGTCATCAACTTTAATTGTATCATTATACATTTGTTTTGTATTTTCATTTTTCAACAATTTTTATTTCATTGAGAAAAAGGATTGAACAACAGGCATAACCTATATTAGTTCTCTCCTAAAGGTAACAATAAGTGTATAAATATATATATATATATATAATATAGTATGTTGTTATTTTGAAATTTCAAAGTTGATTATTAAAGTATGAAACATAAAATGTTTAAATATGAGATATGAGTTTGGAAGTAAGGACAAAATTTAAGAGTTGTTATAATATGTAAAATAGTGTTTTGTATCTATCTGGCATTGTTGTTATTGTTGTAAGAAAGCGACCAATGTTTAAATTTATTGGATTTGATAAGTTTTTATATTGATTTCGATGACAATATTTTTTTGACCAGTGATATTTACGTTCTTGATATAAAAGTAGCTGTTTGTATGATCGCGGTCGCATTCTAGCTTTGCGCTAGAGGGGATTTTCTTTTAGCTCAAACGATAGGTGTTAGGTTTTATGGGTCCTCTTTCGCTAGTAGTTATTAACATGTAAACACAAATTTTGTTTATTTCTACTATTAAGTGTCTGATACTCACATTTATTTAATCCTGAGTGGTTTAATTTCTTACAGCAAGTAATGATGACGATTACGTGCAAGCTTTAGGACCAAAATCTATCGTTTTCAACATACATGTGAAAGGTCTGAAGTGAAAGTTTGTCTGTCCTTATATTTTGCCTGCAACCTTAACTAAATCCCTGATAAGACTAAGTAGTAACATTGTCTCTTGGACCTGCTGCTCGGTTTATTTGCACATTCTGATACACACCTACTAAGTTTTAACACTGGATTTATATTAACCATTGTATTACATTCGTTGTAGTTTTAGTAGAGTTCCCACAATGGGGTCCCGTAACAAATTTTCCCGGACCAAGGTTTGAAAGTTGATTATAGTCAATTTGAGGGTGCTGATTAAAATGAGCTGGGGTGAACCTCGTGAAAATGTGGGCTAACTCGGCCAGACGCGAAAATTCAAAATGGCCGCCACCCGTCGTCTGGTATATCAAACAAGAGGCCCAATGGGCCTGAATCGCTCACCTGGTATTAATCTCACGCTACAGGCAGAATATCAGTGTTTGATTCATAAGAACCTATTAAAAGATTTAAACATTTAACGCCGGTGACCTTGAATATCGAACAAGGACATTAGGTTGAACAGAGTTTATAGTCCTACCCAGCATGTTTCTAGCAAAATATCATCACCCTGTACCGTTTGGTTATACAGAAATTATATTTGACCCCAGTGACCTTGAATATGATTTAAAGTCATTTATTTGAACAAATTTAGTACCCCTTCATCCCAGCATGTTACTGGCCAAATATCATCACCCTAGGCATCTCAGTTATTCAGAAGAAGTTGTTTTAAGGTTTTAAACATATTTGACCCCTGTGATCTTGAATATAAATCAAGGTCATTTATTTGAACAAACTTGGTAGCCCTTTATCCAAGCATGTTACTGGCCAAATATCCTCACTCTAGGCCTCTTGGTTATTCAGAAGAAGTTGTCTAAATGTTTTTTTTAAACATATTTGACCCCAGTGACCTTGAATATGATTCAAGGTGACTCATTTGAACAAACTTGGTAGCCCTTCATCCCAGCATGTTACTGGTTAAATATCATCACCCTAGGCCTCTTGGTTATTCAGAAGAAGTTGTTTAAAGGTTTTAAACATATTTGATCCCTGTGACCTTGACTATAAATCAAGGTCATTCATTTAAACAAACTTTGTAGCCCTTCATCCCAGCATGCTTCTGGCCAAATATCATCACCCTATGCCTTTTGGTTACTGAGAGGAAGTTGTTTAAAGTTGACGCCGGACGGACGCCGGACGGACGCCGGACGCCGCACCATGCCATAAGCTCACTTGGCCCTTTGGGCCAGGTGAGCTAACAAATACAAGTCTGATTTTGGGGTCTAAATATATGTTTGAAGGGTCAGGGATTTTATTTATTAGTACAATAACTTGATTAAAGGAAGCGTTAGAACGAAAAATGGTCTGGGGTTTTTTTGGCTGCCAAAAACCACCCTTAATGGTTTAGACGCAACATTTACATCTTCAACCAGTGTAAAGGGGATGAAACAATCATGGTATGAAATGTCTGTTCAATGATTTTGTTTATTTCGGGCTTATCGTCCTTGCATCAGCTAGAATCATATGATTGGTTTTGTTTGTTTTTAATTAGTTGAAAATCCTATCAACAGCTAAGGTCATTTAAGGACGTGCCTCTATGTGCTTTGTGTAACCGTGCATGAGTGTATGTGTGCCGGAGACAGGGTATGTTGGTGTAATTGCCTCCTTGTGATAGCGTGGATCTGATGCCGACTTTATAGTTCATTGAAGTTTGGAGCGAAACAGGTTGACGCTCTTCACGATGGATGTTGCTTTTAAATCACCCTAACTTACAATTCAGCCTGGATGACGCTTCAAGCAATGGCTGTGGTCGGCAGGATACGAATGACGGCCATACGTAGATTGATCTGGCCACAGGAGGGTTATTTTAGCCTCACGAAGGAGACGAGCTAGGCAAAACAGTGCTGACAATGACAACCGCAGGAAATAGGTTGCTTTCGGAAATTTGCTTCGTCTTAATTCCACTGGTTACGATCACATATGTTCTGCACCGATGGAATATCCCATTACGAAATCAAAGGCACGAGGTTAATTATGCGATTGGTGCAAGATAAAAAAAACACCTGCATATTGCTAGGCTGATACCTATCCTTTGACGATTTCAAAACCAGTCAATTTATCGTTACGTTGCTACGCTTTTTTGATGTATATCAAAGATTCAAGCTAGGATCGTTGTATCATCCAAAAGGTAGTGCGTGCATGAGCCTCCGGTTTTTTCACGACATATTCCAGGGATGCAGAGACCGTGAGAAACGTAACCCCAGGATGCTGTTACTCTCTACCAATAGAATCTAATAATCTGTTTATTTACCACATGTATTCAGTATCACGATGTCATAAAGTATACCATGGGTGAATTAATGAGCGTTTCTACCAATGTCTGGATTTTCATCATTATTTACCGTAAAATAACGTGTTTTTTTTGTCTTTAACTTCTTCAATTTCCCTGATAAATTGAAATAAATTGTATTTACATGATCAAGATAACATGAAAAAACTATATTTTCTTAACCATATCTGTAAACAATAACATCAAAACGAAGTAAAGTAAAGCAATGAGAAATTCTAAATTATTTTATTAAATGTTTTTTTTTTTTCAATTAACATATAAACTTTATGAAATCTAGACCAAGCATATCTAAGACATTCAGTTCATTGTTGCCTTTGTCAATGATCTAAGGACATCAAGCATGTCATTATGGAGAAGCCGAGTTAATTTACATAAAAAATCACGTGCATTCATAATTCAATATCTGAGTTCATGCTTTGGAACATTTCTGTAAATTCAAGCTTTCCTTCCGAATGCTATCATACATCGTACATTGATTGAAGGACAGCAACTCATAACTATATCACGTCTTGCAGCTGATCTTAAATCACTTCTAACTTGAGATAACATTGAATGTCAGTAAAAAGTTGTAATGATAATTGTAGAGTATTAAAACATGGGATAAAATTGTACCGGCTTACCACATCTTACACAATGTAAAACAATAATGAGACGAAGAAATTTCATCTATCTGTTTAGAATTTGTTTATGATGGACGGCAACGAAACGTTAATTTCTTGACAAATTTGTGAATTATATATATATATGTATATTCAATAAACACATAGAAAAAAATCAAGCCACAAAAATCACTTGGAACTGTAAAGTGTGTATATCTTTTAAAGCATTTATGAATCGGTAATACAGTAATGTGGTAAGTCGGTAATAATCATTCATTTTTTTGAATTCCAAATAAGAGACAATATATTTAGAATGAGCAAACATCACTGTCCGAAACACAGACTATAGACAATCAATTATGGACGGATTTTGTAAACATTAAAATCTCTAAAACACATCAGGAAATCGTTATTTTGCACACGTTAATCATTTATATCACAGATAAGTTCAGAATACAAACACCTCCATGTACGATATTTCTGTTTGTTAGCATTGATTTATGGCCAAAAGTTAATTGCAATAATCATTATTTTTAAAATGTCAGAAGCGACACTTACTATTCTCAAGATACTTTTCAATTGCTTAATTGTACACAAAAATAACAGAAACTAAATAGTTTCGAAATTGTAAATTATCTAAAAATATTTGGAGAGTGTTTTACGTTTCTTTCAAGAACATAGTTTCAACTATTAGTTTGCTGTGTACGGAGAATTTCAAAGGAACGGCTGACTCGGGGAAGGGCTGCTCGAATCTGCCCTGATGCAGCCATCATCCTCAAACGCTGGATTATCGATCTCCTCTACTCCCAACATATTATCGTGTTCCACATCGATGTCAATGGGCTCTCTATCCGTCCCTGCGCGCATGTGCAGGAAAGGGGAGGGGGCACGACCCAAGTTGGCCCGCGATTGACCCATAGATAACGGAGAGGGTATCCCACGCTGTTTTCCAAGAGAACTGCCTCGCAGGGAGGAGGTTGGGACTGAAGGAGTGGCTGTTTGGGATTTCACAAAGGCTTCTTTAGGATGTAACACGGGAGGAAAATCCTGGAGTGGCTTGGCAGACAGAAAAGAGATTGCCGTTGGCGGCGTTTGACTTGTCTGGCTCACGTTTTCGATAGATTCTCCGTCGCCCGGACTGTGACTGCTCCCGGAGTTAGAACCCTTTGGCTGTGGAGAAGCGTAAGGCGGTGGTGATTCGGACGGTATGCGAGACATCTCAAAATCGATTGGTGTGTGGATTTTACTTGGAAGTGGAGTTTGGCGGACATGTCCCATATATACGTCAACATCATCGTCTAGAGGGGCGGTTTTCGTTTTCATCTTCCTGCGTTTCCTCGGTACTTTCTTCTTCTTTTTCTTTGCATTTTCCTTCATTTTCTGCATGAAGTCATCCATTGAATACGGAGGAGGTGGCTTGACTACCTTTCCTCCAGCTTTCATTTGATAGCCTGCCCCTCCCATCGCCATTGATGAAGTCTTGGTTCCCTTAAGGATTGGGAGGGGTTGGAAGTTGGAGTGGGTATATCGGGGTAAGGTTTGGTATTCATGAGTCGGGTGGATGCGATTCCTCACTGGTGGGGTGTTCTGTCAAAACAATTTGATAAACATTAAGATAATTTCCTACGTCCTGCTTTACCGACAAGGGTATGATATAAAAAGTACATAAATAATATACACATACGGACAGAAATATTAAAAAGTACAACATACTGATATTGAAAACTATTATAAATAATCATAGAGGCAACAAAGTGCTGTAACAGAAAACTTTTCAAATCATAATGAGATTGTGGATTTAATTGATGTGGTAAATATACAATTTGCCATAATATGTTTTCGTTCCACAAAATGTATAAATGTCAGTGTTCATTTAGTAAACTAATTCAAATCACTCGACTGCTTTCAGCCCATCATCATAGATGACACGAATGTATATGTGTCATGAAGCGTGCAATGGCCAATTGTGATACAGTGGCATTACCATGCAAACATGAATAGTCTGTTTGATGTTAGTACTCTGAGAACCAATAAGAAAATATGTATTGGTGGTTACACATATCAACCACATACCAAACACCATTTCGATATTTATACATGCAGTTCTAAATCTATGATTAAATCATGCAACTCTTTCCATGTTCTTCTTGTTCTGTTAAAAAACAACAACATTAACATGAAGAGAGATGAGGTGAATCGTTTTCTAGAGCAGGTAGTTTTGTTTCCGTTACATGTAGAGAATACATTTTCATTTGTGGAGTGGAAATTTAAGGGTGCCAAAGCAAGTCCCAGGAAAGTAAGCAGTACATTTACAGTTTCGGATGTAACAGTACAATTTTATCCGGTTCCCCTATCTAGACCCCACTAACCGGCTGTCCTGCTATCTAGAAAGTTGTATAGGGGGATAGAATATTACCAGTTTAGGAACTATATTTGGGAGAGACTTGGAGTCATATGTTCATAGAGGTTTAACAATTTTAAAGGAATGGAACTACATGTCGAAGAATGAAGTATATGTCATATGAAAGATCAATTTCAGTAAATGGACATTAGGGAATAGAGCTAAATGTGGAATAAAATCAATGTATCATGTTAGGATTTTTTTTACATGTTTAAGAGACGTTATGAAGGACTGGAGCAACGTATTCAATCATTGGTAATACAAGTTCATGAAATGGAGATACAGGTTTAGAAAAAGGCTTCATGCTAAATGGTTATTAGTGCTTGAAGTTAAATTTCCAGGATAATTCTTGGGAACTAACACTATGCGTTCAGGGAATGGAATTACTTGGTTAAGGTAGTTTTACATGACAAGTAAAAACGCATTATCAGACATATTTATCCTTTTCCCACTATGCATAAACTAATTCAAATGGGCTGTGTAGGCGTGCCTCAATAACCAGGCATTGCAACTAGTGCAGTACCAAAACAACACTGCATGCAAATACATTTACATATATGTAAGTTGACAATTTATTGTCCCACAGGCGAACTTGCATGCATCAACATGCTACCAATTACGCCCAAAGTCCTTCCCATAGATAACGGTATTATTCTTACACAACTGGGACATTTGGTTTGAAGGATTCGTTCGTTTAAGATTACGAAATTTACCCCTTCCCTCATACAGAAGTAAATTGGGCAAAGATCTTTTCTTCCTTCTGGTTTTTAACATAAGCTGTGGAAAGAATATCTTCATGTTAGGTATTTTGAATTTCAAATATATGAAATAATCGCAATATATAAACATCTGAAAGAAAGGTTTGGATGATATCATCTGAAATGAAGGATGATAGTAAGACACCTCAAAGAAAGGTTGAGTTGAAAACATTTTAAATAACGAATGGGATGAGTTTATTTGAAAATGTTGAGATAACATAATGAGAGTCAACACAACTGGGTTAGTGACGTATGTGTACACGTCTTTTTAAAGTGCTACAAAAATCTTCACGGCATTATCTCACATAAACACTAGCTAAACTTCCATCTCTTGTAAGGTTTAACATGTGACAAAAATCCCCCTAAACGTTAAAGATGAACTTCAATACATTGAGTAACAAAAACTTTTCTTTTTCAAACATAAATCGTGTGTTTCACTCCAAATCAGCAGGCGTTTAAGTACACGTTAAAATTAAACGTTCAAACAGATTTCAAATAACGACACATGCGGTAATATCGTCAGTCAACACACACCATGCCGGGTGACTGGTGTCACTGACGGACTAACCTCGGACAGTAAGTAAGGTATCTGATCCTCTGGGTCATACTCATACGGCTGAAGTAAATATCGAAATAATTACAGTAAATTATATTGAAGGGTATGGATTTACACTTTTCTGAATTTTTCAATACCGATTTCGCTGATTTTCGATACATAAAAGCGCAATAATAATGTAATTGGTATGTTATTTAGTAATATATAAACAGCTGCCTATTATATATGATTTCACTTTTGGACCAATGGCAGCACCAGGGCCTGCATTCCTGAAATCGTTCTCATGCTCAAACATTGATTCTATGCTGAACCTATTATAATTATTATTCGCTCAAATCACGTGCAACGTTCAAAAAGTAAAGAGCAAACTTTGCAAATAGTTTTTGGCTTTCAGTCTCGAAAAAACCCATTGACAAAATGTGATTTTAATTCGTTAATTGACGTAATAGGATACACGACTTGAGCACATAATCTGAGATTGAGCACGAGAACGGTTAGTCATTAGTGCGGGCGCTGAAACTGTTTGTTTTTAACTGTAACACACACAAGGCTACGTAACCTAATTGTTATAACTACAACAGTTGTAAAATTGCGATATTTCTCAGCAGAGTCTCAGTGTTGCCGTAGAGCTCTGAAGTCTTGAAACTGTTGCAGTATTGTGTTATTTGTTCGCCCAGAACACTCCCACAAATACATTCAATACCATTAGGTATAAAATGTTTACGTATGATTCATACCAAATACGCTATATGTTAAAATGAGGTGAATGATGTTTTCTAAAACTCTGGTGAAATTATCAGTTTTTATCAAAATTGTATTTTCTCTCGAAGCCAACCCCCCCCCCCCCCCCCCCCCCCCCAGCTTAAATGAGCTCTACACAACTGTCACAACAACGACGTGATATTCTCCGCAGATTGTCAATCTTGCATATATATGTAGCGGCAAAATGGCACTTGAATTATATTACTTCAGACAGTTATCAGCTATTTTGCATAATTTGTATAGGAGGAAGTCCTGCAAAATTCGTTTATTTCAGGAATTGAATAAAATAGCAAGAATCACACTTGTATAAGCAGATCAGCGAGCAGACGATTGGGACAGCCCCTACCTACATACTCTCTGGCCACTATGTATAGCACAAAATTGCTTTCTTATGTCATGTTGGTTAAATGATTAAAGACTATTTTTATTTCAAAATTTAAATCTTTTAATGTTTGGTCGATAAAACAATTTGAAAACTTAATTTGTGCGAGTTTTATTACTTATTGTTTACAGAGAAATTTTTCTGAGGGAAAATTAATTTTGATAAGAATAAGTGAGCTTTTACAAAACTCGGCTTTATGGCTTCAACGCATTTTAATTACATATCTATAAAGAACTATGACAAAATGCAGTTAAATACTTGTAATGTGCTCTCTTCATATTTGTTCTTTAAATTTTAGATAATCATTTGAGAAAAGGGATCACCCAGCTACATGAATCACCTATGTTTTGATGATGACGCGACGATCATCATGACAATTATGTTCTTTTAACTAACAGCTGAATTCTATAGGAAAACATAGTAGAAATAAAGAGGAATCATTAAGCATGCTAAATGGTTCATATTTGATTATATCATATACTAATCAAATACGAAATTTAAGTCTCCATATATATATAAATAAATATCATATCTGTTTCTACTACTTCCTGTTTGGGTATATACAGTATACAAATACTACACGTAAGATTTCCTTGACAATATGTTAGACTATTGACAGTTGTTAGGTCTTTGTTTATCTGTGACTAAGACATTGTTGATACCACACACTAAGTGCTATACTTACATCATCAACTATTTCAACACGTGGTTCAATGTAATTAAATGCGTCCTGCAGGATTATTTTTGTAACGGTTAAAAATGATATTCGAAGATATGAACATTTGAATATTTTTTTCACAGAAACGTATTAAAAAAATATTTTTGTAAATTACATTTGAATTAAAAAAGAGAATAAACTAGTACGTAACCAACTCTTATCAATGAAACGGCATATCGCTACCAACTACGATCATACTGTATTTATCACAAATATGTATACATTTTAAATATCAAATTATCTGCTGTAGTTATGATTAGATCACGCAATGTTCCCTCTGTAAATGTACGCTAATGTGACTTGGTATTAAACCGGCAGAAAAGGCGTAGGTTGCTAAATAGTAGCTTACCGGGCAATTTACATTGGAATCCGATAATTCCTCAAAACTCTTAATACAATCATTTAAGAAACTATTAACAAACTAAGTTGTAGCAGCCTCGTCAAACATGCAAAACATTTACTGAGTACCAAAATATTTTGCAAGACACTTCTGTAGAAACAGCTTGTTTTATTGCAGAAGTTTGTATTTCACAACAAAAACAACTACTACGTCTATTGCCAGTGTGAACATGTGCTGAACTTACCGGTACATCTTGATAATATGGAGTTGGTTCGATGTACATAAATGCATCCTGTTGATTTTAGACGGCAAAACGTCATACATCAATATTCTTGTTGCAAGATATCCAGTCAATTCAAAATTAATTTTGTTTTAATTTGTCAAAAAAGTATTTATAGTAAAATTGAAAATTTTATGAGTATTATGCATGAAAAAGTGAGAGTAAAAAAAATGAAGAAATGCTTTCATTAGAACTTGTGCAAGCGGATAGATATAAGGATTTTAAAAAAAACGAGGAAAAAAAGGAAGGAAAAACATTTGTACAACATTTAGATCTTTACGATGATGATATTATATTTGTGACGATATAATATCTGTGCAGGGCTTACCGGTACAAGCGACTGCTTTATTTGTTCTGTGGGTGGGTTGTATTCAAAAGGATCCTGCAAATATGTTTTAAAATGATACTGTATTCACGAAAATTAAGTAACTGAGAACTGGAAAGAACATTTTTGTTTCAATGAACACCTGTTGCAAATGTGGGATCAAATCTAATAGAGTACAGCCACACTTAGACTGGTATGTCCCCCAATAATAGATATCGTTTATGGACAATAGATGTTTTTGTAGTTATTTAAATACAAATAGTGTTTTGCAACATTACAGTTAAAGAAAGCATGCATTATATTTAGCAACACAAACCCTTCCAAGCCAAAGTACACTTATATTCAACTGGTGGCGCGCTTTTGATTCATTAACGTTAAACAAGCTAAATCAAATTAATCTCGCCCTCTAGATTCATTAACTTTTAACAAGCTAAATAGAAGTAATTTTGCTCTCTAGTCATTAACTTTTAACAAGATAAATCAAATTAATTTTGCCCTCTAGTCATTAACTTTTAACAAGCTAAATCAAATTAACTATATGTTGCAAAATATTTTTGCAGCTACACACATACAGAAAAGTGAAATAATAAAAACAATTAAAAAACAATCATGACAGAGAATTCAGGACATAAACAGTTTAAACGTTTATACTATGTACAAAAAATAACACGTTTCAAACTATTGAGGTAGATAATATCTGTGCAAGGCAAAACAAGTGGAGTCTTAACATTATATATATATCGATATATAAATCGAGGGGAGGATATCTTATACAACATTTAGATGTTCACAAATATGTTAGGAATTTTTATTTGTATCAAGACAAATCCCTTTGTCTGCATGATCGTTATTATTATTTCTTAGCTTATATATATTCATAATTCTGATTTTGTTTTTAAAATACTCATATATATGCGTATATTAAAACAGAAATAATATATATGCGTATATTAAAACAGAAATACAGTTATTATATGCACAACGTTTGGGCCTATATTCGACAGGAACTCAAAGGTGGTTAAACACATCCGAAACTGTGATACTGTGTACCTGTTCTACACAAACATATTTTCTCTGTCATCAATAAGCGTCTATCAATGATTTTGTTACACGAACCCAAAGTTGCCTGTATCATAACGTATGACATAATGGGCTAACCTATCCCGTTTCACAACGTAAGACACATTGGCCTAAGAACAACATTGCCTTGAAAGGTATCAAGAACAAATGGCAGAGGCACAGGCAATGAGATTTCATGGCATCAATTCACTCGAAGATTTTGACAGAAACACATCAGTCAAAAAGATAATATAATTGTAAAACAAAAATGTAGGAAAAATACTAAACAATGAAGAGCATTAGTGAAAGTCTTACCGGCACCTCATCAAGTTGTTCCGAATGAATGTTTGTCTAATAGGAAAGAGACGTTCGAAATTCAGTTCACTTGATCACACATATAAACAAACTTTAAAATAGTTTACCTACAAATTATACATTGACATACAGCCAAATATTTTGAAACACCTGGCATTTACGAAAGAAAAAACACGATAGAGATGATCTAAGGAATTAATCCCAACATATCAATTTAAATTCATAAAGTACAATTAACTGCAACCAAAAATATAATAAATCGACCGTTAAAATGACGAAAAACACAATATTAAATAATTTATATATTGATAACATGCATGTTTGAGCTAATTATTCATGATTCCTGTAGACGTTGTAGAAGAAAAAAATGTTTAAATAACCATCAGAGATATTGCTGAAAAATAACCGAATTCGCCGTATGAAACGAACATAAAAATGTTTTTTTCCTATAAAAAATATATTGAGCAAATCTTTTTGTGTTGTCTGGCAGAAACAATACAGAAAACATGTAATGGCGATGGTCTAGTTAGATTAATCCATAAATATTAATTTAAATTCATAAAGTAACTGCAGCATCAGAGTATACTAAATCAACTTTTATATTGACTACACAATATATTACTAGTATTCAACATATATAACGAATAACTTCTAAAATCAAAATGTACATATCCTGGTCGCAGCACCAAATATTGTAAATCCTGTTAACATTTCTTTGTTCAAAACACGTATTCAATAACAAAATACCGGGAACAGTTCTTCACTGCCTTAACATCATTTAATGGTAAAATAAACCAGATCGTCAAATTGTTAAACATGGTTAGTCTCACAATTTTTAATATTTCATGACATTGATCATTACGTATTAATAGAACTGCAGTGTTATTTACATTTCAAAGTGAATTATGTCAGAAGAATAGTGTGTAGTATAAAATACTGAACACTTGTATTAACTCCTTCCATTCTTGATATAATTTTCAGGAATTTCCATAGTTTTTTATTAGAAAAGATGAGAAAATTAATCACAATCAAATCCTTTATAGTTTTCCTCAGTTGTATTCGAAATGTCTTATGGATTTACTTGATCTGTTTTGTTTTAGCTGTATTGGCGGATTTTTCATGGAATTGTTCATCCTTTTCATGCCTTGTACAACCTTTTACTTTCAAAATAATCTTTCCATAATAGAAGACACTGGGAAATAGAGGCTCTTCATCTTGTCTTATATATCAGAGTTTGGGGATAGCTATGTTTGCTTCAGATGATAGATTTTCTCATATTTCTGGACAATTCATATTATTCACAAATATATAAAAATACCTTTAACTCATTTAAAAACAAGAGTTTGATTATATGAATCTTTGATGGCGAAACGTTTTTATTTGCAATTTCTATATTTTGGTATTTCAAATCCATTTGTGGTTTTTTTTTATTATTTATTATTTTATATTTTCAAAAACAAATACCACTCTACATGAATATGTGTCTCCTTTGGAAGCAATTTCTAATAGCTGTGGGGAATAACTGGGAACCATAATGTAAGCATATCACATTTGCGCGTGTGTCAACACATGCTTAGCATTACACTATATGTACGTATATCGACTACCAGAATTTTCAATATTTTGTTCATTTGGTCGACATATTCCCTTGATTTAGAAGTCGAAATAAATATTTACAGTATACTTTCATTTCATTACTCGTGTTCGTTTTGTTTTTTATTGATTTGTTTGTACTAATTTTACAGCCAATCCATAATAAATTAAGTAATTTATAGGGCCAAACAACATCGTTAGAATAGACATTTACAAACAGAAAAAAAACATTCAACTAAAACTACATAGGTTAAAAGGTGTAAAAGATGGACAACAAAGACATGCAAATTGGTTGTAAAAATATCATATCTTATTGTGAAGATCAAATAGTCAAACTTTCATTGCACAAAAAGTGTATAAAACTTTTTATGTTTGAAATTATCATGCTCAATAAAAAAAACTTTGACTTAATTTAATTGATCACAAGCAGGACAATAAGGTTGATATTCCTTTTGTTTAAAAAAAGAAGGAGGTTTTAAACATGGTATTAATTATTGAATAAGACAAGTAACTATCACATTCCTGTTAGTTGTACTGTATATTACCAGTGTCAAGGTCATTGAAAAGCACTGTTCTTGTGAAAAATGATAACAGATAAGGTCCTTTTCGTTCAATAAACTCTTCAAATTTCTCGAGGCCAATTTTGAAATATTATAACACATTATGTCCTTTAAACCAAATCTGATTAATTTTCAAAGATGATCTTTAAGTAAATTAAGTTTAGTTATTTGCTTGAAAAGAGTTCAATAATGTTGCTTAGATTGAAGCCTATTTTATCTGTTTCAAAGGAACTGTGCTTCCAGGGCTTTTATCAGTTAAATAGATTAAAGTTAGCATACTGTCAATAGTACAGGTACTAATACCAATGAGTTACAATAACACATTGACTCAGTTAAATATATTAAAGTTAGCATACTCTCAACAGTACAGGTACTAATACCAATGAGTTACAATAACACCCTGACTCACCGTATACTCAGGAGGTTCCGAAAAGATTGTATCAAGTGGGGGCTATATAGTAGAAATATGAAGATTTTCATGAATATGCATGATCAACTTTTTGATATAAATAATGCAATTAGGAATATGCTTATACATTTAGTGCATATATTTGATTAACTAACTGACACATATGTATGTTAAGCACTCATTTTCAAGATATAACTTCTGAATATGCATTTTAACTACCGAATATAAATGATCAACTTACAAATATGCATATCAACTACCAAATATAAATGATCGTTATGAATATGCATATATTAACTACTGAATATTAATGACCAACTTATGAATATGCATATCAAACTATGTATCAACTTCTGAATATCAATGATAAACTTAAGACTACACGATAAACAAATGAACAACAACACTGATGATAAGAAGTACATGATTTGGTTTGTATCAACTGTGCAGAACTATGACGCCACTTTAGAATATTTTGTTTTTCTCTCTTTCCATTTTCAACTTTTAATATGGACCCGGGGCTACATTTTGACATTGGAATTGTGTCATATTTTTCAGGTGTCCATTTTCAACGTTTAATTAGTACCAATGTCACTTTTTGACTATTGAATATGGAAAACTGTAACGATTCTCAGGGGTCCATTTTCAACGTTGAATATGGACCCGGGTCACTCTTTGACAATTGAATGTTGAAAGGTTTCCATGATTTTCTGAGGTCAATGTTCAACGTTATTGCCACTTTAGAAGTTAAGACAGCCATTCATTACACATTATCAGGTAGCATTAAAATTGGTAAATTTGATTGGACAGTTTTTAAGATGCTGTAATAGATTTTTAAATTGTGAGAAAAATGGAGCTTGAATAATGCTGCAAAGAATCTTTACAAAGTAGAATTGTACAAATAATATATGTTGTAAAGATATTCATGATAAAAATAATTCTAACTTGCAAAGAGTTGTAAGCAAAAATGCATGACTCATCTTATTAGCTAATAAACATATTGCCTAGATTATGTGCAGATGAGTAATGCAGGTACATTCAAATTTTATCAAGATATCTTCCAGATAAGACAGGACTTAAATTAAACTACTGCATTTATTCGACCTTGAGGCAAAGATCATTGGGAACTTATTCTAGTGCACTGCACTGGTTCTGTTGGTGATGCATGTACATTTAAGAGTTTCAGCAAGATATCTTCAACAGTTTAAAGTATATGGCTTGTACAAGACCTTTACAAAAATGTGTACTTATTTTACATTTGACCTAAAGTTCAGGGTCATTTGTGACTTAATTCTAGTGCACTGTTCCCCCCTCTGTGGGTAATGCAAGTACACTTTAACTTTCATCAAGATATCCCTAAATGTTTTAAAATTTAGGACTTAGACAAGTTGCCAGAATAACCAGAAGAAAAACCAGAAAAACCAGTATAATAAGGAGAACTTGTGATAATGCAACATCTCTTACTTCATGCAAATGGGAGACATTATAATATTGCAAGAAATGCTCATATCTTGATAAACCAGTTTAATAAGAAACAAAATCACAACAAATCAGTGTGATAACTATGTGACATAATAACATGCTGGGGTGCCAATGTAACGCCTTACCATTGTATGACATTTTTGTTCCACGAATAAGATTTGCTAGAATAACATGTAAATTATCATATAAATATGTCTGTTTCTTTTAAACAAAGATTTGATAGAATACCACTTAAATTACAATATAACCATATTTAATTGTTTGTAAACTACATGACTCACACATCACACCAATATAGATAGTTCAGGATAAATGTGTTGCAAGACCAACAATCTGTTAGTGTTAGCTTTCTAATAAGGAGAATGATAAACATGATTAAATAAACAAGATTGTATAGTTTCCCTTATACATATAGTATTCACCCCTTATACATATAGTATTCACCCCTTATACTTATAGTATTCACCCCTTATACTTATAGTATTCACCCCTTATACATATAGTATTCACCCCTTATACATATAATATTCACCCCTTATACTTATAGTATTCACCCCTTAATTTATAAGTAACAAAATCCCATCTGAAACACTGTGCTTTAATGATTGAGACTGAAGACGGTGTTAAACGTTGATCAAAATATTATGATACGTTATAAATGACAAAACAAATTGAACTATGCATGTGTATAATGATAAAGTTCTAGTACCAGTTAGAAACAAGTACAAAATTTGCACTAATTGGATCTAATTTATATCACAAAAAATACATTGGTCAAAGATGGGATCCTACAAACTTTTAGTTTCTTATAGCATTACCGACATGCATTTCTTGTTGTAATCCATTAAACATGACTAATATACTGCAATAAAAACATGATTTGAAACAATCTCAATGAAATGTGATGTGCTTCAAACTACCTCCCAAACTGGCTGTAAGCCTACCAGGGGAACTATTTTGCTTCGAAGTAAATAGTCAATTTATTCCCCAAAAACTAAGTCTGAAACTTTTCTTCTGAGTGTTCCTTTCTATTTTTCTTTCAATAACGGTATATATAGGAACTTCAGAATTTCTTTGGAACGACAAAACAATTTCAAAGCTTTACTTTTCTTTAATAGTGAAATATTACCGAAAATTGCAGGAACAATCTTTATATAGCACAGCTGTCTCATCCATTTCTTTATCTCTTTCACCCCTGAAGACACATGTGAACTCTTCCAATTCAAAGGTTGGAATAATTCATTATGAGATTTCAGGGTGAATGAGTTAATGGACTTGCCTTTTGGCAATAACTCAAAAATAATACTCTGCAAACTTTTATTAGCAATATCCCATTAAATGTAGACTTATATAAGAATAGAAAAACTTTTGTATATCAAACTAATAAAAAAACTTGCCTTAACATTAATTTCCTTTGTTCTTGTAATTTGTTTTCATTGAAATTTATTTTTAAGTACATGTACAATTTTTATCAGATATATTAGTGAATTTCTGACAAGACAATGACAAGAGTAATAAAACATTGTATAACTTATGTAATTATGTTCAATATTTGAGGATTAATGGCCAAAAGGCAAGCCTGCAAGACCAGTAGAATAAACAGCAATCGACAATAACATATCCTGTGAAAGTGGAATGTTAAGAAGTGTGGAAGTACTCGCATTATTTTGCTTCATAGCTTAACCATTCCACCCCTATGTAACTTTAGAAGACTCTACCATGCATTGATCTGGATGAGTCCATTATAGTCTACGGTGGTGAAACGGTTAATATATATATAAATTATAGAGAAATATATTGTTCATATTATTATATAGATTTCAGAATCATTGTCGATACCAAAGTTTCCAAACCATGATCTGTTGAAGGAGTCACAATGTGAATGCTGCCACAAGAAATCCCACTTTAAGTAGTATTACACTCGTATATTAATAATAAGGCATACATATAGGTATCTATGCACCCCTGTTTTTTATAAGTTATATCTAATAACTATAACAAATAAAAACAATGACATACAGATATAAAACATAACCACAGTTTTCTGTTAGCAACAGGAACCAGCTCTTCTCTACAGTGATTATCACCCACAAGGAATACATAAATACCCTAATCCTTTAACTGTATTAATAGAACACACACCTTTTGAAGTCTGAAGTTATCTTACGACACAAATCTACTATTAATGAATTAATTGTTACTATATTCAGCTATATCTGACTTTTATTACCTGTTTTTCAATCTCACAAATGATAGGTAACTGTTTCTGTGAAGTTTAAGATAGTCAATGTAAAGAGACTACAAACATAATAATCATGATATGCTTTGTACTGTAATTCACTCAGGTATTTTTGTTTGTTTTTGTATATATGTACTACAAGCCCCCAATTCAAGAGGATTAGAATAGGTGAAAGGCACACAATGATTTCTGTGTTAGGATAGATCAGATCTATAAAATTGAATTGCCTGTCCTTAACATGAAAAGGTAGAATTTGGGTTGGAATTGTAGAACGAATCAACTGACTGAAAAACCTTACTTTGAAATAGTTTTTCCTCAATGATTAACATAAAATTAAGAAATTGTGATGGATTTCCTCAGAAAAAATCACAACATTATGAATTAGTGATGGATACCTAATCAATGATTATTGGCAAAACAAGAATTTGCCATAGAAATAATGTGAAAAGACTTTGAGATTAATTTTCTTCATTTGTTGACACCAAAGTAGGAAGTTGAGTTGTAATTAAGAATTTTTGATGGATTTTCCACACTAATTGACATAAAATTGTGATTTTTTCATGGATTTTCTCACTAACCAAACAAAAATAATTAGGAATTTGTGTTTGATTTTCCTTACATTTAAACAAATCTGATTTTCCATACCAAATGACATGGAAATCAAATTCAAGATCAACTTTCCTCGCTTATTAAGACAGAAATATATAAGGAATCCTTGACAGACAGTTTTGAGAAACAGTAAATATGTATAGGCTATTTCTAAAGGTGATAATGGAATCAATAATGTAGAAATAATGGTGGTTATTTACTAAGGTAGAAATTTACTTTACTACTAAGTTTGGGTGGAATATGAAATATTTCATTAATTGAAAATGAAATAAGGAAATACACACCCCACTTGCTCCATCTCCTTCTACGTAGCCTGTGAATTATATACAAAAATACACATCAAATCTTCGAATTTCCTAAAATATGAGTCGGCATTGTTTCCTATAGGGTGATTTAAACTCATCAATATAGGCACCATTACCATAATAATTCAAAAATTTACAATCTTTCATACATAAATTACAAGTATGGTATCAAATAATATTTTTTCTGTAATATAACTTTTAACGCCAGGAAAGAATTTTCTTTGCTTATTTAGAATAGTAGTGTTTACACACGTATTATAGAATAACAATTTAATATCTTTGATTTGGATGTTGTCCTAATCAGCTGGTTTGTAATACTTACTTTTATCAAAATCTTGCAGCTCTGAGGATTCCTGCAATGACAAACAACCAGATAAGTTACCAATGATTATATAGTTAATAGGCAAATGTTAAATAGCTTACTACCAAGAGCAGTGACAAGGACCTTACTCCTTTGATTTGGTTTGTTAATGTTTTACGTCCTATTAACAGCTATGGTCATTTAAGAACACCTTGACCACTTGGCCACCGCGACCCAGTGGTGGAGGGGTAGTGGTAGCAGAATGTCAGACACCTTAACCACTTGGCCACCGCGACCCAGTGGTGGAGAGGTAGTGGTAGCAGAATGTCAGACCCCTTAACCACTTGGCCACTGCGACCCAGTGGTGGAGGGGTAGTGGTAGGAGAATGTCAGACACCTTAACCACTTGGCCACCATGGCCCCCTGTCTCCTTTGTAAAACATCCTTCACCAATGTTGATTTTCACACAGATGACATAATGTCAAGGCAACAGGAGATAGTTTTAAATTCAATAAATCCTTCAAATATTCCATCCCCCGATCGGACGTGAAAAGGTATAGGGTCAACTGCCCGACCTCAAGGATTTTCCCCGGGTACTCCGGTTTCCTCCAACATTAAGACCCTACACATGCTTTCATCCATGCCAACAGGAGTGATTAATATAAGTTGAAATAACTTGTTTCATAATTGTTTTAAAATAAATAGTTAATATTTTTATATATCCCTCTGAAAACAAAAAGTAACAAAAATGTAATCAAAAAGAAGTGTTCAGTTAAATCATGAACTTGATAATGATTTTTCTATTATTTATCAAAATACAAATTGTACACTGAACTCAAAGCCTTGACCTATGGTTTGAATAGGAACCAGTAAATGGACTTCAAATACACGTACCATATATTATTGATGTGTGTTTTTTTCATATCGCATTGATGTATTTATTTGAAGAATACTTTTAAATGCACACCAATGCAGTCATTAGGACATTAGTAATATAGCTTAAAATATCAAACCTGAAGATATTTGCAAAATTAACTTGTTAGGTTTTTGTTAGGTTTTTTAAAAATTAACAATCCTAAATATTCAAATCTTGTTATTTTTGATTGAAATATGAAAATCAGAAAGTATACTTATTTCAAATACAACATTAATCTTTTTCGAAATAAGGTTTGTCATTAAATAAAAAAGGAGAATAACTCCATCAGTCATTGCCTTCTTATCATTGAAGTAATCGGTAATCAGCCGCAATGCAGTAGTGTACCCAGGTGTTTTCTGAGCTTCAGGACCCTGCTCTCGATCTGGGAATTGGGCCCCCCCACAAGATTAAGATATTTCAGAACACATCCAGAATGCCTACTGGCACCTTCATTGCATAGAAGACTTTGTCATATCCATGCATTAAATTAGTGACTCTAAATCAATCTTAGGACTCCTACATTAACTGCTACTCAATAGGAGGGACTAGACAAGTTAATTTGTCCGAGCCTTGTATAGATATCATAAGTAAAAATTACCATATAGTAAGGGCACTGTATCCAATATATGAAAAGAAAAAATTGATCCTCTCATAGGTTATACTAGTCATCCTCTTTACTGGGACAGACCAACTGCTTAGGGGCATTATCTACTTTGGTATAGACTTAAAACACTCAAAAATCAAACCACACATTAAAATTGAAATCACTATTCAAAACTCTCCAGTAATCAAATCACACATTAAAATATGAAACTAATCGTACTTTTATTAAATATTGAATCTACCACACTTTAGAATACTTCAAACTCTGATGTAATCAAACACACAGGATCCGTGTTTTAGTGTTTTTAAATATCACTCAACAGTCATTCAATATCAGACCAAGTGATCAACACTCTGATGGAAACATCAATTGATCAGCAGCTGAACTTAACCTTGAGCACCGCAAATTCACAAAAACAACAAAGTCACACGGTAATACCGGTGGAAAGGTATGTTCGGGGAATACTTCAGGCCCAAGGTCTCCGCCAAATGGATTTTTGACTAATTGGTTCAAATCGAAAGGATCATACTCTTCAATACCGTCATCTGATCCATCCAAGGACTACAAAATCAGGAAGTTCTTAATTTATTTCACTTCTTTCTTTGACCAACTTCAAGACAACATAATAACAGTTTCTGTTTTAAAAGATTAAGTCTTCATTGACAAATATTATATCTTCCTTTAATAACTGAAAAAAAATTCAATTAGTTTTTAAATGTTGTTGTACAAGCAAAAAACAAAGCTTTAAATGCATATGAAATGCCCATGATAATGAGTCTATAAGCTAATCTGTAAGAATGAAAGATGTAGCCTTTGAGCTTATTTCAATTTAATAAAAGGTTCATTTCTGTCGGAGTTAAAAAGCAAGAAGTTACACTTTTCTTCAATGTCTTTAATAGACATAGAATAGTTATGATCAATAACAGGAAGGTTAATGATCCGGAAGATCTGGAACAATACCTCCAAAATTCTTCAGCTTGTCTTTCACAGAAGTTAATAGAAGAAAACCATGTGAGTAGGAGACTAGTAAAAAGTATTACTTGTCTTAATACTAATATGACTATTTTTGTCTCCATTTAAGAATGATTCTTAAATCTCCAGTGTCAGGTGTTATCTCCCCTTACAGTTCTATCTTTTGTTAAATCCCAAAAACAACCATGTCTTGTGTTATCTCCCCTTACAGTACTGCATTGTGTAAATCCCCAAACAACCATGTCTTGTGTTATCTCCCTTTACAGTTCTATCTTGTGTTAGTCCCCAAACAACCATGTCTTGTGTTGTCTCCCCTTACAGTACTTCAATGTGTTAATCACCCCAAACAACCATGTCTTGTGTTATCTCCCCTTACAGTACTGCATTGTGTAAATCCCCAAACAACCATGTCTTGTGTTATCTCCCTTTACAGTTCTATCTTGTGTTAGTCCCCAAACCACCATGACTTGTGTTGTCTCCCCTTACAGTACTGCTTTGTGTTAATCCCCCCCCCTAAACAACCATGTCTTGTGTTGTCTCCCCTTACAGGACTGATTTGTGTTAATCCCCCCTCCTAAACAACCATGTCTTGTGTTGTCTCCCCTTACAGTACTGCTTTGTGTTAATCCCCCCTCCTAAACACCCATGTCTTGTGTTGTCTCCCCTTACAGTACTGCAATGAGTTAATCCCCCCAAACAACCATGTCTTGTGTTATCTCCCCCTACAGGTCTATCTTGTGTTAGTCCCGAAAACAACCATGTCTTGTGTTATCTCCCCTTACAGTTCTATCTTGTGTTAGTCCCGAAAACAACCATGTCTTGTGTTATCTCCCCTTACAGTTCTATCTTGTGTTAGTCCCCAAACAACCATTTCTTGTGTTGTCTCCCCTTACAGTACTGCTTTGTGTTAATCCCCCCTCCTAAACACCCATGTCTTGTGTTGTCTCCCCTTACAGTACTGCTTTGTGTTAATCCCCTCCAAACAACCATGTCTTGTGTTGTCTCCCCTTACAGTACTGCAATGTGTTAATCCCCCCAAACAACCATGTCTTGTGTTATCTCCCCTTACAGTGCTGTCTTGTGTTAGTTCCTCTTACAATCATAATTTGTGTTAACTCCCTTAATCATGAATTATTAAATAATCCAACAAGCACACAGCTATATACGACTTTTTATTGTCTAATACTACACATGAACAAATTATCACAATAACATCAAATATACACTATGTAAAAAACCTATTTCTAATTATAACTCATCCTGTTTAAATGAACTAGAAGATGATTAAAGGTAAATACTTGTTAAAGAATGTTTGAATAATGCACCTGTTTTCTTTCACAGCAATCACTTTTCATGCAAGAAAATTTACATTCTTTTCCTCAAACTTGCATAATGTTCTATCATTTACATTAATTACATAATCACATATCATTCACATAAAAGTTGCAACATTCAAAACAAGTAAACAGTCTGATCAAATGTTTGTTTAAGATTCTACCCTGATAAGGAAGATTTGAAAAAGGAATAATTTTTATAACCCAATACAAAATATTGAATTTGTTAATGTATAAACCAGTCACCATTAATTAAAGGACAGTTTTTACTACATTGTGATTTATTATACTGGTTATTTATTAATTACAACGTACAGTTACTCATTAAACATGCTAATGTATTTATAGTGTGTTATCATTCTATTAACAAGTATACTGTACATTTAATTTGTTATAATACTAAACACAAATACATGTACTTTACTCTTACAACTATTTCTCACCATAGTAGGGACATGTTTTTCCAAAAAAGGTTCCTGAAATTTAAACGAGTTAATGATAAAGCTTTAGCACAAATTACTGAGTTTACCAGACTGAGATGGGAACCTACAACTTTTCTTCATATCAGCAGGCTTAGAAGGGAGCTAACAATTGTAAAACGAGAAGAAAAATTCACTGCCAGACTCTCTAACCATTTGAGCTACCTGGTCGCCGGTGATTGACCCAGTCAAGGTCAGCTACATTTCTCCCTCCTTTAACAAAGTCTTTCACCCCGAAGACACTCGAGACCCTATACCACCTTCCATGGGTATATTTTTGGGCTGAAATGTATCAGAAGAAAAATGCATGGCCTGACCAGGATTTGGGACCGGGACCCTCAAAACTCTAGATGGATGCTCTAAGCAATTGAGCTATCTGGTCACTGGTGATTGACCCAGGTCTAACAACTATTCTCTAGATCATCAAACTGAGGAAGGAACTGAAAAGTATTCTCCAGTTCACCAGACTACAGAGGGAATTTCCAACTATTCTCCAATTCATCTGATTGAGGTGGAAATTTATTACGATTATTCAGGCCATAACACTGAGGCAGGAATTATAAAGTCTCCCTCAGTGTATTACGCTGACAGAGGAATTACAGCTTCTTCTCTGTTTACCAACCAAAGATCCATCATACTGAGGTCACCAAGCTGAGGAGTGAATTTAATTTTTTATTCCTTCGCAGTTCTCGCAGTCTTTTACTTCTGATATATAACACTGAATGAATTACTAATGTTATTTTCATAAATTCTGAAAATAAAGTCAAATAATTCTTATTTTAATTGGGCATCTTTTATGTTGTTTTTTTGTTAGCATTAAAAATAAGAGTGTGACAGCCATATCACCTGGCCACCACAAGTGCCTACTTACATCAGACGTCTCGCTCTCTGCCTTGAGTGAGGCCATAGAATCATGTTTCTCCTGACACAAGATATACTTCTTCACCCAGCCATAATGACCACTGAAACATAAACATTCAGTAGATATCATAATAAAACATGATCATACTGGAACTATGTCATACAATGTATATCATCACCGATCTCTGAAGGAAAATCCTCCATAACAATGTTGAAGTCAAACAGAAAATGAAAGCACTGCTTTTGAAAAAGACAAGTTTTTGCTTTTGAAAGGTGACAGTTATAACAAGCATGAATGTATGTGTACCATATACTAGGATATAACATTACATACTTGTCCAATGTCTACATTTTTTAGTCTTTCCTGTGCTAGATACTATTTGTGGTCTTACCTGCGCTAGACTCTATTTGTGGTCTTACCTGCGCTAGACTCTATTTGTGGTCTTACCTGTGCTAGACTCAATTTGTGGTCTTACCTACGCTAGACTCTATTTGTGGTCTTACCTACGCTAGACTCTATTTGTGGTTTTACCTGGGCTAGACTTTATTTGTGGTCTTACCTGCGCTTGACTTTCCTGATGTACAGACACAGTAGTAGGAGTATGATGAGAAGGATACACGCCAAGACGATGAGGGCGATCATCCAGGCCTCTAATTGGCAGCTGATGTCGCCGTCAGGACAGGTACACTCATACTGGTTAACTCCATCCTTACAGGTAAAGGGTGCCGGACAAGGGGAGCTAACACACTCGTCAATATCCTCCTCACAGTGGAAACCCGTGTAGCCAGGCTGGCACACACAATCGTAATACTGGTCAAAACTGCTGGCTCGGTACACATTCTGGCATGGGTAGTTACTCCCATTCTTGGCTGTAAAATATAGGACAGTATTCAGTATCCCTTATGATTGAATCATCTACATATCGCCTAGGTTCGAGGAATTTACTATCATGGTAAAAAAGGAGCCATGATCTTGAAATATATGAAGGTCATAATCAAGTTATATTTTATACGACATTGAAATTCAAACATTCATGCAGCAACACTGAGTTCCAAACATTACTGCGGCAATGAGATCATTGTGGTATTGAGATTCAAAATTCACTGTGGCATTGAGGTGTAAGCATTACAGAAGTATTGCCATTTCAGCCTCGCTGAAACATCAAGATCCAAACACCCCTGTGGTATTCCACTGTCATTGCAGCATTCTGATAACATCTTTGGATAGCAGTTAAACTCGAACATCATTACCGCATTCAGATCATATCTGTGTTTCTGATGCTACTGAAGTATTAAGATTCGACTATTATTGGGACATTCAGGTTCAATCGGACTTACGTTCACAAATGCCACCGTTGTGACAGGGAGATTCCAGGATCGTGAACTGTATGGTGATCACATCAGATGTTTTGTTTGCTGTGTCATTAAAGTAAAACTTGGAGAAGACCAGTCCGATGAATCCGTCGGGTTGGGAGAAATTAAGTGAAAAATACAGCCAGGACATGTTAAGTGGGTCGTGTGGAATCTCACTGCTGAAGTTACCACACGGGAACATCGTGGCCTGCAAAACAAAAACAATCATAGTCAACATTATTTCAAACACAATCGTAGTCACCTCTAATCACCGACATTAAATCTAGAATTGAAGTCACCTGGTTTTTATAACTATAATTTTTGTGCCCTATAACGCATGGTATGCAACATCTCATGCTGATCAGGGGAAACAGGCTGATGTGTAGACCATCAATACTTTATGGTAGACAAGGACTTACCATCCTGTTCTGACTATTGACAAGACAAAATACCTACCATTCTATCTTGTCTGTTGGCAGGAAAGAGGCAAACCTCTTGGACATCAGAGTACTGTATGATAGATGACAGACTACTTACCGCCTCTTCGTGTCTGTTGGAGGGACAGGAGCCGACCTCTGGGACCCCTGTATACTCTGTGGCCTATGACAGATTACTTACCGCCTCTTCGTGTCTGTTGGCTGGACAGGAGCCGACCTCTGAGATACCTGTATACTCTGTGGCCTATGACAGATTACTCACCGCCTCTTCGTGTCTGTTGGAGGGACAGGAGCCGACCTCTGGGACACCTGTATACTCTGTGGTCTATGACAGATTACTCACCGTCCTATCCTATCTGTTGGAGGGACAGGAGCCGACCTCTGGGATACCTGTATACTCTGTGGCCTATGACAGATTACTTACCGCCTCTTCGTGTCTGTTGGCAAGACAGGAGCCGACCTCTTGGACACCTGTATACTCTATGGCGTATGACAGATTACTCACCGTCCTTTCGTGTCTGTTGGAGGGACAGGAGCCGACCTCTGGGACACCTGTATACTCTATGGCGTATGACAGATTACTCACCGGCCTTTCGTGTCTGTTGGCAGGACAGGAGTCAACCTCTGGGACACCTGTATACTCTGTGGCCTATGACAGATTACTTACCGCCTCTTCGTGTCTGTTGGAGGGACAGGAGCCGACCTCTGTGACACTTGTATACTCTGTGGTCTATGACAGATTACTCACCGTCCTATCGTATCTGTTGGAGGGACAGGAGCCGACCTCTGGGACACCTGTATACTCTACGGCCTATGACAGATTACTCACCGTCCTTTCGTATCTGTTGGAGGGACAGGAGCCAACCTCTGGGACACCTGTATACTCTGTGGCCTATGACAGATTACTTACCGCCTCTTCGTGTCTGTTGGAGGGACAGGAGCCGACCTCTGTGACACTTGTATACTCTGTGGTCTATGACAGATTACTCACCGTCCTATCGTATCTGTTGGAGGGACAGGAGCCGACCTCTGGGACACCTGTATACTCTGTGGCCTATGACAGATTACTCACCGTCCTTTCGTGTCTGTTGGCAGGACAGGAGCCAACCTCTGGGACATCTGTGTACTCTGTGGAAGCCAGGATGGTGCCCACTGCTGGTTCTGAATAGGACACGCTTAGATATTCCATCTCTACATCATACGCTCCAATGATCAGGAACGAGTCTGTTGTCGCCCATTTATCAGAATTCCAATTATTCTTCTGTTCTATGAATAACTACAATGAATGATTTTGAGCGAAATTAACATATGTTTTTTGCAACTTTGAAGAATCCATTTTATATCAATAGGTTAACATATATATTTGGTCATTTGAACCATCCTTCAATTAAGACAAATTGACAGAATAATGAAATATTGGCTTTGAAAAGAAATTTGATTTTCCTCATTTTACAGTTGTAGAAAAGTTCATATACATGAAACACAACCAGTAAAGCATTTAAGAGTGACATTTTGACGACTAGTACAGTATGTACTTGTCACCTTCATCACAGAAAGACCAGTGAAGTATTGTGCTATGTGAACTTGCCCACAATATTCCTCCTTTCTAATCTGGCGATAAGGTTAAGAAATCATCCTACACTTATTGTATACTTACTACAATGGGCTCAGTGGTGTCCTCATTTAGGACACTGTCACCAAACTGTGCCGCAAAAATTACTGGTGGATCGTTTATGCTGGTGATGTTTACAGTCAGAATCACTGAGGTGTTTGCAGGTGGTATTTCTGGGTCAGACTGGAGCTCGGCTAGCAAGATGTAGATATAGTCCAAGCCGTTACAGTCCGTACAAGGGGTGTAGTACAATCTGTATCAAACAAGGTCAAAGGTCAACATGTACATGACTGTAAATATATACAAAGCACGACAACATCAGTGTGGAGAAGACTGCAGTCAGGACAGAATGCAGCAGATTCTTAGTATCCTGCTAGAAATTCTCAGCCAAAAGGTGGAGATTCCACAATGTCAATAGAAACGTTTCATGAATTTCTCTGGAATTTCTGTGGTCTGCAGCAAATGCACAAATTTACAAAATTAAGAACTTGCTGACAAATTGCAGAAAGACTTTGTGTTATATGAATTGGAAAATCAGTGCAATTTTTTTTTCTTTTTCTTGCCGTGATTATGATGCCGAGATTATGTTATATCTGTCCAGACGTCCCTGCAATCTTTGCATACAGGTGCAGGATATCTACAAACTTTCGTTCCTTTCTCTATAGACTATTCTGCATTTTTTATGATGTTTCACAGAATTTCTGTATAATATTATTCCTAAATACTGTGTAGAGCAGAATTTCTGCAGAATATTTTCTGTGAATTCATTTAGTTCTCAAGTTAAAGTAGGGGAGCCAAATTAAACAGAAAGGTGTACTCACAGTCCATCCACAGATAACTGAACTGTCCCTGTAGTCTCATTCCCAGACGGAGCATCAATCAAGAACTCCACGGTGTCATTCTCCAGGTCGGAATAGATCAACTGGTACTGAATAATTCCTGAAACATAAACATCTCATTATTTTATATGTCTAACCAATCACGATGTTTGATTGTGTTTTACGTCCTATTAACAGCTATGGTCATTTAAGGACGTGCCAGGTTTTGGTGATGGAGGAGTGCCCGGAGAATAACCACTGACCACAGGGACTTAAGAATTAGTTCCAGCTATATTTGGACCTAAACTAAGTCATAGTGTCACTTTTTTTGAATATTAATGAGGTTGAGGTCAGCGCGTGCCAAAACATGGAGTGTTGGTTGGTTTAGCGAAAATATGGCTGCGCTTCCAGCCAATCACACCACGGGTCTCGGCATGTGGCTGAGGTCAACCTTATTAATATACAAAAAAGTGGCACGATGACTGTTTTTGGAGCTAACAGGGATCTTGTCCACAAAAGGAGAATACATTTTACGTGCATATATGAGGTAATAGAACAATTATCCATCTTTCCAACGGTACTAAGCATTTTGCCGTAGATCAACTAGAAATGTTGTTTTTGATGCAAGAAAGTTAAGTGGTGTCAACTTTTCGACATCGAGAGCTTTCCGCCCTTCTCGAATATGATCTTTGGGGGTTTCATTTTTACCGAAAGTTGATCTAAACCCCTCAAACATGTAAAATTACCCTTACACCTTAGTTTAGGTTCAAATATAGCTGTAATATATTCTCAGGTCCCTGTGCCACCGACCTGCGGCCAGTATGTCCAACCAATGACAATAAAACTGCAGGTCACATGGCCATCCTTTGATAACTATTCATCCTTATATTATTATTTGTTTGAACTTGACAAAAATTGTAATGGAATTTTAATACATTTAATGTAGAGAGGATTTATTCAAAGAAATGATATTAATTGATCAGATTTCTTGACAGAATTTCATGACGTCAATATCAGTTGTTATTTGTTTTGCTTAAAGACATTTTTAAAGAAACTTGATACACAGCATTTCAACATGTATACTACAAATTACAGCACATACAAAATTGTTTTAAAGTAGCTTTTCTGAATTCCTGTAATTGTGAAAAATATTTAATGTGTTCCTGATATATCAATATATCAAGTATTCTAAATGTCATTGATAATTTGTGTAACAGGTCATTATATTTTAGGAGAAGACTTATATAGGCTAAACCTGTTGTCTTATCTAATTGTGCAATTTTTTGTCCAATAAAATTTGTTGAAACTAAATTATTTTTGCAATACCTCCACTAGGAGTCGAACCGGGACCTCTAGCTTACTAGTCTTACGCTCTACGGAATGAGTTAAAGAGAAATTCTCCCTAGCCGAGTCGGTATGAAGCGGCTAGTATTTTACCAGGGTGGCATTTGTATAAATGAGGCAAGTCTATCACCTAAGACTGTATAAAGACACTTAAACAGGTTGTAAAATACAGGATAAGGGAAACAATAAACTTAGCCTACTGTAGTTTGGTAGTCAGCTGCTGAAACATTTCAAATCTATCTGAGTAAAGTACCAACCTAGCGAGACACCCTCTCACATACCTTGTGGATGTACAAGCTGTCCTCACTCTCTATATTTGTATACAAAGACCATTTTTATTGTTTATAGTTTTCTGGATTCCCATCATTGATACCAATTCCAGATAAAAGAAAATATTACAAGATTTATCTTTTAGGGGTGGAAAATTGTTTAGAAATAAATTTTAATAAATTTTCAAAATATGTTATGTTAGATGCGAGATAATGTGTTCGCTAGCGTAATTAAGGACCTCTGATGACCAGTCATTCTGCTCACCTTCATCCTCCAGCAAAGCTATGTAGGGGTCACTGTCCAGGACAGGTGGTGAGTTGAAGGGTTCTGCTGCTGCTTCGGCCAATACAAACTGTGTCTCCGAGCTGAAGTAGGAGTCTGCGTTAACCGCTGCACGTCGCCGTCGACTACTGGAACTATCTGGAGCTGCGTCTGTGGCATTTTCAATTGCCTCTTTGTGTGTATTGCAGACCTGTGGATACAAGTACATGTAGATGATCAGCCAGGCCTGCTGTGTACTGGCTACTAGGTTGATATCTTAAATCATTGATACTCTGTAAAAGATTCATACTACAGTACATTCTGTCTAAACTGGTTTCTTCCAATCAGGATTTTGTCAAATAATTTGGTTTTGAAAATGATAATGCATAACAATCAGGACCTCCTTGTGTCAATTGCATATTGGGAATTCAAAATCTGATGTTTCTTCATATAAAGATCCATCTTCCACTGCAGGCAAAATAAAAGTAAATTCCACTGTAGTTTTTTGTACATGTGGTAACCTCCCATTAATTTCCTAGTTTATATAACTGTAGTCATCTGGACCAGGGTATTACTGTTGACAGGTAGCTCAATCAATCACCATGGATGAACTTGATTCCGGCGTGCCGGTTGCTGCCGGGAAGGCGGCACTACCACTTGATTATGTATGTCCCTGAAGTCACGCAAGTTCGGCACGTGCTCTTGGATAAGAAGTTTTGCCAGACTGGAGAGACAGGCAATGTGACTTGTGCCATATTGTGTGTATGCCGCCTTGCTTTAATGTAGCGTGCCGGTGGCAAGCACAAACCGTGCACAACCGGCACGTCAGAATCAAGTTTGCACCATGTCAGAGTAAAAGTTTACAGTGCAAAGTAAGTACTTTGTTGCAATCATACAGGAATCTGCATTCATGACTTGCAGACAACAGTTTTTATACTAGTTCACATATATAGTACTTACCTTGACTGTAACGGTGCCATCTCCATTAAACACCTCTCGGTCAGTCTCGTACTCACACGACTCACTGCTAATCTCCCATTGGTTTTGTTCTGTCAATACAGGGGGAGATAACTCTTATATTACTAAACATCTCTATCAGAAAGGATTTCTCTGTGGGGTCAAACTTTCATGGTTCTGTTACCAAAACAACTTATTTGGGTTCACTTTCCATTCAATACGATTGATAACAGATAAATAAAAACTAACCTATTTTATTGTGACTCCAATATTCAGTGCAATATTAAGCTGACATTTCAAAAGGACTGATAAATAAAGGTAAGCATTAAATAATCTGGATATGATGAAATTCACAAGTTCATCTTCTTTTACAGATCAAGATCCTGAACATAAATTCAAAGTTTACTTTAATATGAGATGAAAATGAGTGTAGAACCAACTTAATTTTCACCAAGATTCTTAATTAAAGGTGACCCTGATACTGATGAAATACGTAAACCGAGCACGTACTTGGGTTCCAGTGCAGAAGCATGGTTCTGTTGCCAGAGGTAACGTTTCCCACACTGTCAGGATAAGTCACCAGTAGAGGGCCCGGTAACTCATAGTGGCCGAGGGATCCAATAGCGAATGTGTCTGAATACCCCAGGAATCTACAAAATAAACGAAATAGTTTTATTTTAGCCTTTTGATGTTTTTTGCATGAAGAAATATAAATATTAGTACAGAGCAACAAAAAAACATGTCTCAATTGGTCACAGATCTACTCAGCCATGCAAAATAATACTTATAATCAAGAAAATGACTGCATAGAGAGTGATGTTGTCAAAGAATGACTTTCGTTTATTATGGGTGGAGGTTGACAGTGATGATAATTTGATATAACGTATTTTTTCGCTACATGTGAAATTAACTACTGATTATACTTCATTCCCAGAATTCACATTCACAACACTACCATGCTGTAAGGAATGTTTATACCCCTGTAACTGGAGTGGTTAAATGCATGGCTAGACCTGACCGGGGTTCAAACCCGGGAGTCTCCAAACTCTAGAGGGATGCTTTACAAATTGAGCTACCTGGTTGCCGACGATTAACCCAGTCCAGTTTTGCTTCACCCGCAGTAAAAACTTTCATTCTTATTATACAGAGTTCATCCAAATGTTAAATGTCACCAACATGACATTATGAAATCACACATACCGCTTCCGTAGTAATCGTTCGGTGAGGTCATTAGTTGTCGCGGGGTTGACTATATAGGGCACAAAGGAAAGGGAAGCATCTGACCGATAGTCCTTCTGTACTGCAGCGTCGTCCAGGGGCGTTACCATGAGAGTCTGACCCGACTGTAACCCTGGCAACACAACAAATATACATCAGCTGATCTGTCAGTGTTCTGACCATGAATCAACTCAACAACTGGGGAGGCCCTTGGAAGAATGATACATAGGCACGATTGGTTGGAAAATGTTTCTTGCATCTGCATATACTACAATGCATCGTCAAATAATACATGTCACTAACCAATGAAAAGGATTGTTACATCACCGATGTGGTCACTAACCAATGAAAAGCATTGTTACATCACCGATGTGGTTGCGTAAATAATGAGCAATACTGTATAAAATGGAGTGGTCGTGTGTATTTCCTTTTGTGGTTTGAAGCTAATTTAAATCATTTTGTGGATATATCATAATATATCATACAAAGAAACAGTTGTGAAGTTTATCACTCAAATTTGTTAATTTATTTTTGTGGTTCTATAACAACCATGAAAACCACAAATGTTTTTACACAGTGAACATTTCATGGTATCCTGTACACAAATTTCCATATTATTATCCAAGGGAGAAATTAATCTAGAAATACTGTGAAATGCTAGGCTGAGCTTTACCTGCACTCTCAAATATATGGGTAGTCACATCATCAAAATAGGGGATTTAAACAACAGCTTGCTATCTGCATTAACACTGTTAAATTTGTTAAAAGACTTAACTCATACTTGCTGCCTTTAATTAATCTAGAACATACATAATTATTCCAATTTGATTCAGAAACGAGAGTCACCAAATTAATGTTAGGTTTCCTACTAAATCAAAATTTGTTTCAAAATTTTCAATTTACCTCATATTCTTTAAAATATTTATAAAGCCTGGCCTCTTATTGTTGTATTAACCCTTTCACCACTGTAGACCATAATGGACTAAAGACTAAGAAGTACCTTCAGAAGTTTGGACAGCCACGTTACTGGTGGCTCGCTTCCTTCGTCGCTTCGATCCCAGGGTAAACGTAATGGTCACAATGGAACCATTGGTCGATGTACCTGATATCATGCCAGCATTGCCGACGATAGTGGTCGCCACAGTTTTATTGGCACAAAGCACTGCCTTATTACAGATCCTTAAATACATAACGGCCTGTCTCATTGGTTCTAACTGGAACTTGCTGTTTGAGCTGTCTGATTGATCTGCAGAACTCTCTCCGACCTTGGGAGCCCGCATCTGTCCTAGAGACCATATCTCCATGCCATTGATGTAGAATTTTCCATTTTTTACCTCCACCTTTGTAGACACATTGATGGCCGAGTATGTGCATGGAAAAATGTCATCGTCTTTGTCAGTGCTTCCCACACAGAAATCTATGACAAATTAAAATGGAACAATTTGGTAAGTATCACTGCTGTGATAATTTTTAAATTCAATACCTGTGATAGTCTATTGTGAAGACTTAAGATTTACTGCGTCGATATTCAGTCCTTTGGTAGGCCAAAAGTGATTTTTAAATTATTTATTTTTATTTACACATATATAACATTTATAGTTTTGTACTATTGCAAATGGCTCTGTTATTCACTGTCTAAGATATAATGAAGATCCAAAGTTCTGGTGAATTAACATAATGGTAAATATACTAGTCTATTGTCAGCTGTATGAGATATATAGAGTGCTGATGTCTTAACATAATGGTCGACACTGTCCTGGTATTTCTGACATATAATCATGTTGTCCTTGCTTTGATACTGTAGCGGTCGACACTATCAGAGATATTTGAGGTCGTCCTAATTTTGATGATTTACCGTAGCGGTCGACACTCATCAATATTTTACCGTAGCGGTCAACACTGTCATCAGCTGTCATCGATATTTTGAGGTCGTCCTTGTTGTGATGACTTACCATAGCGATCAACACTGTCATCAATATTTAGAGGTTGTCCTAATTTTAACAATTTACCGTAGCGGTCGACACTCATCAATATTTTACCATAGTGGTCAACACCGTCATCAGCAGTCATCGATATTTTGAGGTCGTCCTAGTTGTGATGACTTACCATAGTGGTCAACATTGTCATCAGCTGTCATCAATATTTTGAGGTCGTCCTAGTTGTGATGACTTACCATAGTGGTCAACATTGTCATCAGCTGTCATCAATATTTTGAGGTCGTCCCAGTTGTGATGACTTACCATAGTGGTCAACACTGTCATCAGCTGTCCTCAATGTTTTGAGGTCGTCCTAGTTGTGATGACTTACCATAGTGGTCAACATTGTCATCAGCTGTCATCAATATTTTGAGGTCGTCCCAGTTGTGATGACTTACCATAGTGGTCAACACTGTCATCAGCTGTCCTCAATGTTTTGAGGTCGTCCTAGTTGTGATGACTTACCATAGTGGTCAACATTGTCAACAGCTGTCATCAATGTTTTGAGGTCGTCCTAGTTGTGAGGACTTACCATAGTGGTCAACACTGTCATCAGCTTTCATCAATGTTTTGAGGTCGTCCTAGTTGTGATGACTTACCATAGTGGTCAACATTGTCATCAGCTGGCATCAATGTTTTGAGGTCGTCCTAGTTGTGATGACTTACCATAGTGGTCAAAACTGTCATCAGCTGTCATCGATATTTTGAGGTCGTCCTAGTTGTGATGACTTACCATAGTGGTCAACACTGTCATCAGCTGTCATCAATGTTTTGAGGTCGTCCTAGTTGTGATTACTTACCATAGTGGTCAAAACTGTCATCAGCTGTCATCGATATTTTGAGGTCGTTCTAGTTGTGATGACTTACCATAGTGGTCAACATTGTCATCAGCTGTCATCAATATTTTGAGGTCGTCCTAGTTGTGAAGACTTACCATAGTGGTCAACACTGTCATCAGGTGTCATCAATATTTTGAGGTCGTCCTAGTTGTGATGACTTACCGTAGCGATCAACACTGTCATCAGCTGTCATCAATATTTTGAGGTCGTCCTAGTTGTGATGACTTACCGTAGTGGTCAACATTGTCATCAGCAGTCATCGATATTTTGAGGTCGTCCTAGTTGTGATGACTTACCGTAGCGATCAACACTGTCATCGGCTGACATGGTGAAGGAACAGCTGAGAGTGGTGGAGTCATTGAGTATCATGGAATTGGCTGGTATCACAGCCTGTGGGAAAGGCTCTGTCCCTGCTAGTTCTGTGTTGACATCATCTATAACTGGCGCTTCCAGTAACACAGTGGTACCTACAAAAAACAAACAATATTACCATGGTAACAACATACAAACAATATTACCATGGAATCAACAATACAAACAATACTACCATGGTTACAACAATACAAAACTGACATACTTAAATCTGTTCTGATGCATTCTTGCATTACAATGTTACAAGAGGAAACTACATTTGCACTACTGCTGTATATCACTCAGACATTTTCAACTTGATCTAAAGCAATATAACATATATGTCATATATCCTTTAATACCATAAAAATCCCCATACTTCAAACCCTAATAAAACTTTGAAAATAAAGGATACTCAACATCACAAAGACATTTTGTGATTTTACTTTGTGATTGTGATGTCACAAAACAGTTTCCTATGTGGCTATCATCTTGTTAAATAGAAAATTGTAAGTATGGCCAAAGGTAATGAATTGCAATTAAAAAACAGTTTATGCTGTCTTCTCGACTGCTCTTTTTTGTTTTATATTTTTTTTTCTTTTCCAAAAGAGTTTTTTTCAATACAGTGACAACAATAATGGATCAGTAATTCATTCAGATCATATAATTATCTATTTGTCACCAATCAACTTTCATATCAACACTCATGCCATACAAATTATGCAAAAAGAAATTTGTATCACTAAAGACTGCATAAGGATAGGTATTATTTCATTTAATATCACTGTATTGCTATAAGGAAAAAGGAAGGATAAAAGGAAAGAAAAAGAAGCTGGGAAGAAAACAAAAATAAGAAAGAAGAAAAATAAAATCTCGACTGCTCTTATGTTTATAACAATTTATGCTGAACTGCCTTATTTACTATAGCTGCACCACCTATCACACAATCACAAACCCGATTAACATAATTTATACTTCTCGTCATATAAAAAGCCTTTTTCACTATATTGGGATTTAAAACAGACTTAGATATCACAGAAAAATTGAATTGTTGATATCTTCTGAAACACAATCATTATATTCAGGGCCTATAATATTTTGAGCATCCTTTTTCATACTGTTGAATGATGTGTGTGAAGTTACAAAACTTTGGTGCCGATATTGAAAATGAATCACATTTTTAAAGTTAAATTCAATTCGACAAAAAAGAACATTTCAAAGTGTTACACTTTATTGAAATTTCGCATTAATCTTCCAAACAACTAACCTTTGGTATCATTGAAGCTAACCACAGCTCCAGCCCCGTTCGTACACTTAACTGACACGTAGTAAGTGGTGTTGTGTTCCAGCCTCCCCTCAAACGTTTCGTTGATCCCTGTGGGGTTGACTCCCGCAGACTCCCAGTCCTGTAGGTCATTCCCTCCCACGGCGGTACCGATAGACCACTGATAATCCTACAGAAGTACCACAGTCACATGTTGATACCGGTTAATTTACCATGAATATACTTTAATACAGCTCACTCATGGGAATACTGTATTAACCAGGAAACTTATGCTGCAGATTAATTTTGGCCTCTTAAAAATTTATCCTACAGCAAACATTTGTTAACAATATAATTATAAATATATAATTAACATGGTAACTTAATGTGAAGAGCAAATTTAATATTGCAGGAAAATGGATTTTATGGCCAAAGGGTGGAAAATTGATTTGGTGAAAATTTCCCCATATGGAGTATTATATTTATTTTTTGATTTATTTACTGGGTAGTGTGAATGAGTCTGACACCTCTATAAGACTGGTACGAACCTATAGAATTCAAGACACTCCTGTGAACAAGACTGCCACTAGCCTATAGGGGTCTGACACCTGTACAAGACTGTCACACACATTAGGAGTCTGACACCTGAACAAGACTGTCACTAGCCTATAGGGGTCTGACACCTGTACAAGACCGTCACACACCTTTAGGAGTCTGACACCTGTACAAGACTATCACTAACCTATAGGGGTCTGACACCTGTACAAGACTTCACTAGCCTGTACGAGTCTGAAACCTGTGCAAGACTGTACCTAGCCTATACAAGTCTGACACCTGTACAAGACTGTCACTAGCCTATACAAGTCTGACACCTGTACAAGGCTGTCACTTACCTATATGAGTCTGATAGCCTATACAAGTCTGACACCTGTACAAGACTGTCACTAGCCTATATGAGTCTGACACCTGAACAAGACTGTCACTAGCCTATACGAGTCTGACACCTGTACAAGACTGTCACTAGCCTATACGAGTCTGACACCTGTACAAGGCTGTCACTTACCTATATGAGTCTGACACCTGTACAAGACTGTCACTAACCTATACAATTCTGACTCCTGTATAAGACAGTTACTAGCCTATACAAGTCTGACACATATACAAGACTGTCACTAACCTATAGGAGTCTGACACCTGTACAAGACTGTCACTTACCTATAGGAGTCTGACACATGTACAAGACTGTCACTTACCTATAGGAGTCTAACACCGGTACAAGACTGTCAATTACCTATACGAGTCTGACCCCTGTCCAAGACTGTCACCTACCTATACAAGTCTGACACATGTACAAGACTGTCACTTACCTATAGGAGTCTAACCCCTGTACAAGACTGTCAATTACCTATTCGAGTCTGACACCTGTACAAGACTGTCACTTTCCTATAGGAGTCTGACACCTGTACAAGACTGTCACTAGCCTATCCGAGTCTGACACCTGTACAAGACTGTCACTAGCCTATCCGAGTCTGACACCTGTACAAGGCTGTCACTAACCTATACGAGTCTGACACCTGTACAAGACTGTCACCTACCTATACAAGTCTGACACCTGTACAAGACTGTCACTTACCTATAGGAGTCTAACACCTGTACAAGACTGTCAATTACCTATACGAGTCTGACACCTGTACAAGACTGTCACTTACCTATACGAGTCTGACACATGTACAAGACTGTCACTTACCTATAGGAGTCTAACCCCTGTACAAGACTGTCAATTACCTATTCGAGTCTGACACCTGTACAAGACTGTCACTTACCAATATGAGTCTGACATACACCTCCAGTATCAGATTATCACTAGCCTATATGAATCTTATATAAGATTTACTGACACCTGTACAAGGCTGTCACTTACCTATATGAGTCTGACACCTGTATAAGACTGTCACTTACCTATACGGGTCTGACACCTGTACAAGACTGTCACTAGCCTATACAAGTCTGACACCTGTACAAGACTGTCACTAGCCTATACAAGTCTGACACCTGTACAAGACTGTCACTTACCTATACAAGTCTGACACCTGTACAAGACTGTCACTTCCCTATACGAATCTGACACCTGTACAAGACTGTCACTTACCTATAGTGGTCTGACACCTGTACAAGACTGTCACTAACCTATAGGAGTCTGACACCTGTACAAGGCTGTCACTTACCTATATGAGTCTGCCACCTGTACAAGACTGTCACTTACCTATACGAGACTGACACCTGTACAAGACTGTCACTTACCTATAGGAGTCTGACACCTGTACAAGACTGTCACTTACCAATATGAGTCTGACATACACCTCCAGTATCAGATTGTCACTAGCCTATATGAATCTTATATAAGATTTACTGACACCTGTACAAGGCTGTCACTTACCTATACGAGTCTGACCCCTGTACAAGACTGTCACTTACCTATACGAGTCTTACACCTGTACAAGACTGTCACTTACCTATACGAGCCTGACACCTGTACAAGACTGTCCCTTACCTATACGAGTCTGACCCCTGTACAAGACTGTCACTTACCTATACGAGTCTTACACCTGTACAAGACTGTCACTTACCTATACGAATCTGACCCCTGTACAAGACTGTCACTTACCTATAGGAGTCTAACACCTTTACAAGACTGTCAATTACCTATACGAGTCTGACACCGGTACAAGACTGTCACTTACCTATACGAGTCTGACTCCTGTACAAGGCTGTCACTTACCTATATGAGTCTGCCACCTGTACAAGACTGTCACTTACCTATACGAGCCTGACACCTGTACAAGACTGTCCCTTACCTATACGATCCTGTCACCTGTACAAGACTGTCACTTACCTATACGAGTCTTACACCTGTACAAGACTGTCACTTACCTATACGAATCTGACACCTGTACAAGACTGTCACTTTCCTATACGAGTCTGACACCTGTACAAGACTGTCACCTACCTATACAAGTCTGACACCTGTACAAGATTGTCACTTACCTATAGGAGTCTAACACCTGTACAAGACTGTCACTTACCTATACGAGACTGACACCTGTACAAGACTGTCACTTACCTATACGAATCTGACACCTGTACAAGACTGTCACTTACCTATACGAGACTGACACCTGTACAAGACTGTCACTTACCTATATGAGTCTGACACCTGTACAAGACTGTCACTTACCTATATGAGTCTGACATACACCTCCAGTATCAGATTGTCACTAGCCTATATGAATCTTATATAAGATTTACCTTTATAAGACTTTCACTGTCTTCACACAACCAGATAGCCTTGATGGTGCTGTTTGAGGATTGGAAGAAAGTAGGAGTAAATTCACCCTGGTTGACATCGATGTAGATGAATATATCCTTGGAAAATTCTGGTGGCGTGTCATCTATGTAGAACCCGTCAGATGACATCATTGTTGTGTCACCTGATCCTACCATCGCTCTCACTGAACAAACACAGAAAATATCTAATTAATACAGGTATTCAAAACATAAATCAATGTTTAACAGGAATTTTAACTTATTTCCTTCATTAATGTTCTCACCGGACTACAGAAATTTAACTCAGAATTACAACCTTCACTGTGACGTCACACGAACTTCTGGGTCATTTAGCCATCTTCACATTGCCAAACTTTGGAGCTAATATTGAAAAAGTTGGAAAGTAACTTTTACACAAAAGAAATAATTTATGAGAACAAGAGGCCCATGGGCCTTAATGGTCACCTGATATATTTATACAGAGAGTTGATTTTGTTTTTAACATGAACAGAAATATTATTCAAAGTGACAAAAAACAATAAAACCACCTTACTCAATATCTAGCATACAGATTTCAGACTAAAAAGGATTTGAAACTAGCACCTCTGATTCTTAACAAGGAAAATGAAGAAATTTTAGCACACTGACTCCTTTGAGCCCCACCCTACAGCCCTTGGGGGTAGGGCTGGCTCAAAATTTTCAAAGTATCAAACTGTCAATTCAAGGTTATAATTCCAATCAAGTTATTAACATGTAAT